CTTGTGATTCTCTGGGTCCACTCCCTCTTTAGGGGATGTCTACTGGTTCCCTTCCATGAACATCAATGGTAGTTTATATTATCTGTCTGTATGCCTTTTTCTCCATCTCCCAATCCATGATTTTAGTGTTGATCTTGATGCTGTCAAACAGGCTTATCACAATGAAGACACTGGGGTTTGTGTAGGCTTAAGGGTCAAAGACAGAGCTACCCAAGAAAGTCATTTTTATAAGCATTGCCCTTCTCCAGGGAACTTCTCTAGTTAGAAACCACATCCAGAGGCTTCTGAACCTTCCTGAACACACTCTGAGCACAAATCAGGAAGGCAGGGATGGGGGCGGTAGGAACACACGCAGGAGCTATTTTTGAGTGGCTGGAAATAAAAGCTAAACACAGGTGTGCTCTGCACAAGTGAAAATGTTCCAAAATCCACAAGAATTCTTTATAAATAAACTAAAAAACCAAATCATTCAGGTTGCCACATCTCATCCTTGTTTCCAGGGACACACATAAGTAGTTCAGGTCTTTGCACATTATTTCGGGAACTGCAGAGGGCTTATACCCACCAAAGGTGCCTGACTCATTTTCTAGAAAGGCACATGAAATGATAATCTAGAGCTGAAAATGAGGGCAACACCTGCTCTATGACTACTGTCATGGCACAGAAAAGCAGGGCAAAGGAAACCACCTTCACTGACTACAAAAAGAAACATCAGGGGAATTTAGGGCCAACAGAGAGTCTCACAGCAAATGCAACTGCATTTACAGAGCAGGAATTCAGAGCTTTTACCTCAACTCATATGTGCAATAAATATGTACATCAAAGTGCATATTAACCAAATCATGGTGAAACCATTCATTTTTTTTAACACCCGTGTCTTGGCGTTGAGGATAGAACCGGCGAATGGGAAGCTGCCAGCACCGAAGACATGGCACCAAGAGGAACGGAGCCCTTTCCTTCTGCCTCTGTACATAACGGGAAGTAGGACCACACACACCCAGTCCCCTCCAAGAAAAGGAGGGTCCATTCATTTTATAATAGAACATAATTATCTAAATGAACTTGTGGGTAACTCCTTAACTTAGAGGAAGAGGTAAGAATTTTCTATAATGGCAATAGGTTTTTACAGGCTCAGATTCCATTTTTCTTACTTTCAGCAGACAAAATATTTATGTCATGATTTCTTTCCAGATTCTTGGTAAAATCTCACCCACTGTAATTTTTAAACTATTTTAGGTGATTTTTTTAAACCACTTTGACCTGCTTAATGTCACACTAGTCCAGCCCTAGCAACAAAGTGGGCCCAGACACAACAGCCCTTTATTCCTATTTCTGAGAAAGAGCAGCCAAAGTTGAGGTGACAATTCCTGGGATTATGGGTATACCACTGGCAAACCCCTTCATGCAAGAGGTGTTTTCCACATGATGTGTTTAGTAAATTCTCACAGCAGCCCTGTGAAGTCAGCTTAATGGCCCTCATTTTACGGCTGAGAAAACTGAGCTCAGAGAGGTTAAGTCACATGCCCAAAGACAGAGACAGAAACTGTAAAGCTGGGATTCAAACCTTGGTTTCTCTGAGCTGATAGCCTACATGACTTATTAACATGCTGCTTCCAACATACAAGTGCTAGGTCAAGGCAAGCAAGAAATTTATGGCAACGAAAATAAAATCTGTACCAATACTGGATGACAAGAGACTTAATTTCCTAGCAGATAATATAAAATAATAAAAACAAAATGACAGAGCACAAGAGATTTTTGTTAAGCAACAACCTTATAATGGGCTCACGCAGCATGAGTTAAGACTGGTTCTCATATTAGTTATGAACCCCCCCCCCAAAAAAAAACAGCTAAGTGGAGAGGCAGAGGGTGTCCCAGGCATCAGAAACATGCATGCTCAAGGTCAGGCCCATGAGGACACATGAGCAGGATATACAGTCACATGAACCAAGGCCAGAAAGACAAAGTGCAGCTAGAATGACTAGGAGAAGCAGTGTCAGCATTCCCTATCTGGATTTTACAATAAAAGAAAGAAAAACTACTGAAAAGTTTGGTTGGTGCACAGGGGTCACATTGGTACAAGATGACGAAAAGAAGGGAAAGGTACTAGGGATGAAGTATATGGGGGAGAGGAGCTGGGGCAAATGTCCTTCCACCCTTCACTACCCCGGGTGCTCCTCTGAACCAGGTGTGGAGAAGGCCCAGCCTCTACTCATCAGGCCCACAAGCCTGGGCTTGACCTGAATGGACAGGGGCACAGAAAGGCAGCTTGGGATGAAAGCAGGGCAGAATGGAGGGGGCACCAAGTATCAAAACACTATGTGCACTGTAGGCCTGGGGAGCAGGATCAGTATGCAAGCCATCCCTTGACTACGTACACAGAGATGACAATGTCACAGTTTACAAATTGTAATATCAAACTGTTTCTGAGGCAGGCTAGAAGTAGGAAAGGTTCGAGATTCACGCGTAGGTTGCCCTGGGATGGCCCATACCATCCATACCTGGCTGGGAACCGCACATGCCCTTCCCCACTCCTTGATTGCTGGGTGGGAATCTCCAGTAATCTGCCCTCCCCATGGTTACTGTGGATTTTCAAAGCAGCTGAACAAGAGAAGCACCTGCCTCCGCCAGCAGACTCCACTTGTGCCCACCATGCTCCCTTTGTGTCTCCCTTTCCCTAACTTTTAACAAACCCACTCACACCCACGCGTTCTGCTTGGATTCTTCCACGCCACAGCACAAGAACCAAGGTCTTCCGGAAACACTGCTTGCTCTTAACACTTCAAAGTACATTAATTCACAAAACCAGAGAAATGGGAAGCAACCCTCAGGGGACACTTTTTAAAGTAGCCTGCCACATTTTCCTGTTCATAGCTCCCTTTGGTGTGGCTGGGACTGGTAGATGTTCCCTTTCTGACCAAGGCCTGTAGAAAGAGCAGATTCTTTTTATCAGAGTGGCTTTCAAGCTGTGAGGTTAGGGACAAGGTCATCAAGATGATTGTGTCATCATGATATGTACTCAAATGGCAAAAACTTGAGTGTGATGTGTTAAGGTGGAAATTGCCATGTTTAGATAAGAAACTAACCACAGTGGTTTTTCTCTTCTCAAGCCTTATTACAATAATGTTGACACACTGGTTTTTCAATTAAAAAGAGTCTGCCCCTCCTCTAAAAGTAAAACAAAAGCAGGACAGTGAGTCCTTTCCCACTGCAAAGAATGGCAGCTACTTAATTCTCTGGTTGCTCTATCATTATAAGAGGGAAGGCTTATCTCTTCCCCTGTATTGCTAAAACCAATTATCAGCGCTAATTATTAAACTATTTGTATTATGCTTCATGCCCATCTAACAACTTCCTTATCCCATTTGTTTGGTTACAGGTCTGATTAAAAATAGGAAAGGCAGTGTGCGGCCTGAAGGAGGTCAGGCGTAAGGAGGAAGAGGATGGGAAGAAGGGTAAGAGCCATTTCTTGCAGAAAGGAGCAAGGAAAGCACTTTTCCCCTCCTCTCATTTCCTTCTCCCGCATTCAACACCCACAGAGCTGTACTTGAATAACTTAAAGGGCGAATATACCACAGGTAAAAAGATGGACAAGTTCTTGAGCAATGTGCACAACAAGGGCTAATTTGATATTCCAGAAAGGTGTCTATATGTTGTAGCAGCGCTTAGCATACCACTTTCATATGGAGTCTGTGGGAGGGTCAGTTTTCTCCCTAAAAAATACCTGCTGGCTTGGCAAGCTACTTAACTTCTGGAGTCCTTTGTTCACTGGCCTCTTTGAATAAGGCTCTTCAACACACAATTCTCCAAAGCTATTTTCTTAGAGGAAACTGTCTTTAATCTTAAAGGTAAATTCTACTGATTACTTTATGAACAAATCTGGGGTGAGGGCAGGCAACACCAACGTTCCCTCCCTCTCAGGAATGGCTGGATACAAGGCAGGGGTAGCCTGAGCGCCCCCACCCTTCTTCCTCCCTCCCCTTTCCTGCTTCCTGTAGCCTGCCAATGCTTCCCAGCCCTTAGAGAACTCAGGCGACCATGGCGTGTCAGACTTGTGTGTAGGGAATAACATGTGCCCTACCACTCACCTGGATACAAGAATAAAAGCGCCTTCCACATCTAAAACTGCTCAACTTCTCATCATAGTCTACCATCATAAAACCCTGCGCTTCAGCGAAAGGGCTGTGTGTTCTAGGCACACTTGAATAATATGACTTTCAACTATGGACCTGGTGAGTAACACTGTATGAAAGCAGAAATGGTATGCGGTCAAGACCCTGGCAAACCACATCTCTTTACCCAGATTTTATAGCTCTCCTAGTGTTTACAGGGCTCTGGCTATAATGATAAGAAAATCATCTAAACTTTTTAGCACAAACAAGAGAAGCAAAATTCTCTCAGACACACTACCTGTCTTTGATCTGCACAGCAAACATTCTTTAAGCACCTGCTGCCCGTGAGGCATGATCAGCCTTTTTAAAGCCCCTCCTTGGGTCCCTTATGACACAGAGCTTTGCAGCCTGCCTGCTGTGGAAGGCAGAACCTGCAGCCAAGCAGGCTGCCTTCCAGGTTATTCCTTCTGGGACAGAGTTGTCTTCAGGGTCATGCCAATCTGCAGCTGACCCCCATATAAACAGAAATCTATTTGATCCTCAAGTTTGTCCATTCACCTGTACCTAGCTTGAATCAAAAGAGAAGATATAAATTCTTCCTCACAAGTTCAGGACTATGAAAACAAGGTTTTTCAAGGGCTCAAGCAAGAATTGCCTGATGATACGTGCCTGTAATTCCCAGTACTTCAGAGGCGGAGGCAGAAGGATTACGAGTTTAAGGCCAGCCTGGACCACATAGTGCGTGCATCAAAGTCACCCTGCACTCCAGACAAAGCAAGACTTGATCAAAAAAGAGGGGAGGGGGCGGCTAAAGCAAAAGCTTGTACCATCCCATGGACATCCCAAAGCACTTCACAGTTTAGAAGGCAAGAGAAAACCTCTGTTTACCTTATTGATGAGGGTCACTATATCTCCTTCTTTGATGGTCAATTCATCATCATTCTGTGCCTCATATGGAAATATTACCTTGCAGTAATCCTTAGCTGTAAGAAGAAAACAAAATACAACCTTTAAGGTGCTTTATCTAATGATCTGATCCAGCTCTCTGTCACATTAACTTCAGAGAAAGGCACACTTAACAGGTAGGATAGTACAACTGCATAAAGGAAGGGTCACCCTCAGAAAACTAAGAGTACTCATTGTGGGCTCAGCATATTTATACTCTGTATTTTCCTCTCACCAATCATGACATCATGAAATGTAACTGCTTTGCTTTTATCAGGAAGAAAAGTAAAAAGGTGTTCTTGGTCTCAGGAAAACAGATGTGTACCATTTTATATACTTGTTAGGTGCATGCATAAATAGACATCTGCAAAAGTGAACAGCTTCAATTTTTTTTCTCATTGCCTTCTTCCCCCACATTAGGAAATCAGAAACAGGGTTTTTATACATATTAAAAAGCCAACATAGTACATAAAACAATGAAAAATTACCTCATTGTGGTAATGAGGTGATGCATTTACAGGTGAACATATGTCAACTACAAACAGCCAACAGATACTGACAGAACAGTCTTATTTTAATTGTATTTATTTATTTTTTTTTGGTGGTACTGGAGTATGAACTCAGGGTCTCACACTTGCTAAGCAGGCACTCCACCACTTGAGCTACACCACCAGCCCTCAGAACAGTCTTTATGCACATGTGTGTGGGAGGGGGTGAACTTGTTCACATATGTCCCATGTCCTTTCTGTGGGAACCTGATTCATTGACAGGGCTGTTCATTGGTAATGAAGTACACAGCCCTCACCAAAGAAGGAAAAAATACTAAGGCCACTTAAGATCAATTCCAGTATATCCTGAATTATATGCTTTTGAGAATATATCAGATTTTAAATTACCTCTATTTTTCCAAAAGCACCAGATATGAAGACAGTGAAAACATTTGTAAGGTATTTGAGAAATGAAGACTTAGCAAACTGGGCTTTTGTGACTCAGGGCAAGTAGAAAGAAAAATTCAAAAGAATGAATATCTACTCCAGCAGGTATTTGTTATTCTTCATCAAAGTCAACAGGTCTAAAATATTATCCCTAGACATTTCCCAATGCTTAGGCCAGTTGTAGACAGATCATAACCTAGAGCTAGATATATAAGTATCAATTATCTTGTCTGTATTATACTTTATACCACTGATATGCATTTCTTTATGTTCAGGAACATCATCAATCAAAAAGAGTGACACACAAAATAAAAGGAATTTAAAAATCTAATGCCCCTAAATCAAGGCCAACAGTTTGCTGAAGTGGTTCATTTCAAGCAGAAGCCTAGAAGCCTAAAGAAATGTCTTTCTATGGTCTACTGGCCATTTCAGAACTCTGAAAATATAATGATCAATTCATTAGAAAGAAGCATCTGGAAAAGAAATAAAATAAAAAATCTCTAATACAAGCCAGGTGTGGTGGCACATGCTTGTGATCCCAGCATTCGGGAGCTAGAGGCAGGAGGATCTCAAGTTTGAGGTCAGCCTGTGCTATGTAGTGAGATGCTGTAGCAAAAACAAAACAAAACAAATCGGGCACTGGTGCCTGTAATCCTAGTTACTCAGGAGACAGTGATCTGGAGGATCGCTGTTTGAAGTCAGCCCTGGGGAAACAATTCATGAGACCCTATCTCAAAAGAACCCATCACAAAAAAGGGTTGGTGGAGTGGATCAAGGTGTAAGCCCTGAGTTCAAACCCTAGTACCACAAAAACACAAAAACAACAATAGCAAAAACCCTAATATAGACATTATGGTCTAAGATTACGATATGACAGGGAGATAGGATGGGTAAAGGAAGGGGAGAGGAAATTGCTTCACTTCTGTGCAGACGTTTTTCTGTCCAGTGGTTTGAAGATATCCTATCCTAGAAACCTTCCATCTTAGGTACTCTGGGCCCCTGATGGCTTTTGCTCACTAACCTGTGCTGAGACATAAGTTATAAATTCCATTAAGACTATTTCCATATAGTTTACCAATGTTCCATCTCTACTTAGTAATAGCAAACCTTCCCAAATGTGAATGGGTCAAATGTTCTAAAGAGAGGGAAAAAGTTAATCATTTTTAATTGGATAATGACAGTTCCCTACCAATTTTCTTATTGACTTTGCTAGTGAAATATGGCTACCCAACCTCAAAACTTAAAACAACATGAATTCATACAGTATTATTGAACTGTCCTGCAGAGTCCCAGCTTTTAGAATAATTCCTTGGAAGGAAATCATGCAGACATTTTACAAAGAATATTAGATATCTATGTCCAACAGAGATAGAAGAACAGGTCATATTTCTCTTCCTTTCAGTCAAAAAAGTTAATAAAGTGTGGTCTACTGTTGCTGATTAACTTGCCAGCAGCCATTCAAAGCCCCCTTCCTAGTTCACAGAATCCTAATTTGTTCAGGCATTATATTTAGGGTTATATTTAGCAGCCCTAGGGAAGAATAAAATCTGCAAGCAGGTAAAAGGTAATCTTGTTCTCTTTGTGGTGATTGGTTTGCGGATGGGCATGTGATTTACTTCCAGCCAATGAAATGTGAAAGGAAATCTGCTGGGTGGGGACTGTCAGATTTCCCTGGCTAAAAGAGAAGGAGATTGAGAAAAATAGTTGCCTCTCCCTTTTTGCTTTTAACATTGTTTCTTATCTTCACTGGAAAATGGGACAATGTTTAGGACTGTTGCAACCATATTTCAACTGAGAAGAAAGCCAAGAAAATCAGAGAATTTGACCCCAAGCCCTGACACTGTTGAGATGTCTTTCAAATTCATCATCTTCAGGGGACCTGTCTCTGGATCTTTTGTTACAGGACTTAGTAAACCAATTGCTTACTCCTACTTTATGATCTGGTAAGTATTCATTACAAAGCAGAAGAGATCTTGGCATGAAGCAATCCCACAGAAAGGAAATTTCTAGTTACTTCCTCTGAAATACTTGGCACAATATGCTTCCCCATTCCTACTTCACCTCTTCCTATGTATCTATATCATTCCCTTTCTCTTCATCTCTCCCACTGCTATTTCAAGGCATGGCCCATAGTAGGAGGGTCAAAAAATGACTATGGAATTGACTTGTAATCAATATAGTGGGAAAATATTGCTAAAAAATACTAGCATACCTTTAAAATGTTTCGTTAGCCATTTTGCTTTATGTTACAGTTTCTCTTTAAGCTAAAGAGGGTAAGCATCTCCTGGTTGTTTTGGAAAATAGGTGTAAGGGCTGTGGATGTAGCTCAGTAGCAGAGTACCTGAACTAGCATGCAGAAGGCCCTGCATTACAAAAACATTTCACAAAACAGGTTTAATTAATATACCATAAAATGTACCACTTTTAAACTGCACAGTCTGATGCGTTTGAAAATATTTACAGTTGTGTTAACCTCATAATCTAGTTTAGAACACTCAAATGGCATTAAAACACAGAATTATCTGAAAAGCATCATTTCAGATAAAGGACAAGATCCTGGTGCTATAGCCATTGCCTACTACCACTCTCCATGAAGCTGGTTGCTGCTGCATGTCTTGACCCTATGTGCATCCCCAGAACCCCACACAGAGCTCTCACTCATTTCCTGATGATCCTCAAGTGACACCTATAAAGTGGTAGTACATTTCAGGAGCAAAGTAGAAAAGGATTCTGGATCAGGAGACAGACACTTGGAGCTGGATTCAGTCCCAGTGGGGCTATCTGGAACATGTGACCTGAGGCAGTCACACTGTAGTTCTGGATGAACACAGTGCCCTCAGTGGTAAAAATCAAGAACTAAGCAAGGAGGAATAAGGGAAGAGTTTGGTTAACTTCAGAAGAACACTCTTAGCAAACCGAAAACTTATTCAGATGTCAAATTTTAAGTAACTAAAAAACAGATCTCTGATTGGAGAATAGAGCTGTCCCACCTCTGCACTCGGTCTTAAAAAACACGCCACAGATATTGTGGCAGTCCAAGTAGCACAGTGGCCTAGACCTAAGTTCTGGCCAGCTCTGACACTTTATGACTCTAGTCACAAGCACTATCACCCACAACTGCTGAACAAACATGGCAGCCAGTAGCCTCATCCTTTAATTCATCATGATGTATTTGAAAATAAGAATTTATTTTTACTTATGAGGCATTTGAACATTAATCCAGCAGTATTTGGAAATAAAAACATTATACTGATTTGGATGTATTAGTGGTTTTAAGACACTCAGAATAAAATGTATATGAAAAAACTTATTAGCTTCAAGACTGTGATTTTAACTTTAGAGTATATTGTTCCTGTTTCAATTGAAATATTCACTGAACCACCACATTAAAAAGGTATTGCCAGTTCTCAGGTCTGGGCCTATGATATACAAGTAAGTCCAATCATTTCCTCCTGTCCTTGCATGGAATGACAATCTAATGCCTAGACAAAGACTACAGGAGGAGGATGACAAAAAAAAAAAAAGACAAATACATTCATTCAGCTCACTATGACTGAATACTGCTGTGTTGTTTCAGAGAAGGTAAAATTACATACATGCAGGAGAATGCTCACAAAAGAGACACATGTAATTGTACCTTAAAAGAAGAGTATAGTTCTCAATCCTTTTTGGACATGAGACAATTATAAAGCTTAAATGAATAGCAGACATATATGGAGAGGAAAATAATGAAATTAATTTTGGAGGCAGGCATTTTCCACCTATTCATCAATTAGATGGATTTAATTAGTCTGAGATCAAGTCAGAATGAATATGCATACACACATAAAGGCACAATTTACTCAGTGATTGAGATGACTTTGTCTCTATTGTTTCCTTGGAAAGATTAAAAAATACAAATGAATTAGCATAAGTCTGAAATCCTGACTCGTCTCTTAAGCTTTTTTTTTTTTTTTTGTCATAGAGTCCTTTAAGAATCTGAAAAAAAAAAAAAAAACAACTGACTCGCTCTTTCCATAAACAAAACAAAATAAACCATACAGACACATTCAAATGGGTGGAAAACATGTGTGTGATGTCACAAGGTTCAAGGACCCTGACAT